TTTTAAAATTTTTAGGTCACTTTTAAAATATTTTTTGGTCATTTTATAGATCATTTTTCAGATATTTTTATGTCATCAAAATCCGGGTCCTGGTAATGAATCTTTGGGCTGCATAAATTGTTGGGAAGTTCTTGAGTAGCTGCACAATTGGCGGCTTCTCAAGAAGGGCTCAGCTCTATGAAGCTAGACATTCTCATGAAGAACTCACAGTACGCGATCCACGAGAATCCTCCCTGTGTGTCGTCCTGAGAGTAATTGATAGTATTCAGCATTCTGAGTTTTGTTATGTAAAGTGAAATCTGCACTATAGATGTTACCAATAATTGACGGACGGCTGGCAACTTTAGACGGCGCTGTGCTACAAATACAGCAAACTCAGAACAGTAGCTCATTTACCATTTCATTTCTGGAGAGGACACTGCTACAAAGTCTATCTATACATGTACATTTCATGACATAGATTTATAAACGAATCACCGTCTACGGAAATGGTGGTTTCTTACTTGAGTAAGGTAGTTTTTGCATGTCGTTCCAGACGTCACAGAAGGTACCTGGGTCAGTGCAGTCGCACTACATATGGCCAATAAATCCAAAGCATATCCTTCGGCGCGTAAGCATATGTTGTGCGAGAAGTTACGTAACGAGAAAGAGCAACGACAGCGACAAAAGTACGAGCCAGGGATCTTTTATTTTTATTTTGAAAAAAGAATTTTAAAAGTAAAAGTAAAGCTGTCACTGTACCAGGCTGTGAAGGCCCGTAGGGTTGTGAGACGTTGAGGGTCCCACATTATCTAGACAATCGGCTCAAAGATGGCGGTAAGGTTGTCAGCCTTACGCACCGGCCGCGCTTTACTCCCCAGGAAAATTAATTGTACGAGTATATAAATTTCTTTCTTTAAATCCGTCACGGCACAACGAAAAACACTATGACATAATATTACGATTGCAACAACCTACCTTAATAGGACCTATTATATGTATAGTTCTTAATTATAATTTAATTATGTAACTCATCTCTTTTAAAATCTTTATCTTTTATTGTATTTTATGTTTTATATTATGATATATTGTCGAAAATGCAACACTGCACTAAATTCAATAGCTTAAAAACGCGTTAATTGTGTATTTGCCTGATGATGTCTTTCTAAAAAGCCGAAATATGTAGCAAAATACTGTTAAACATCAACTGTTTTGTTGTTGTGTTGTGGCGGATTTTTATGAAGAATTTTATATATTTAACACAACAGGATTCATCCTTAGGAAAAAATGTACGAGTATGTCAGAAAAAGTCCCAGGCAATGCTCATCCGGCCTTCTATGGCACATAGCGGTCGCCTCACAGGCGAGATATCAATGCAATCACTTGTTTATTTTCAGAAGTAGGGCTGCGATGTAGTGAGTAAGTTGAAGCGCAGGCGTGCGCGTTTGTGTGTGTGTGTGTGTGTGTGTGGGGGGGGGACTACAAGGGTATGTAGAGGCTTATTTTCGGGGACAGACGTCGAATAAGGCCAAATTATAATCCAGTCAGATATAGCAACTTAAATTTTATTCCTCTACCATGGACGAAACTTAGGAATACAGTGGTGATTTATGAAACTCATCAACCTGTCAGAATGTCCTGAGTTGGCATTTAGTTTCATTTTTTTTCCTTGGCACTACAGCCCCAGTGGGCCAAGGCCTACCTCCATGAACTTCTCCGTTCGTTTTTCTAGCTCTTACACATTCGGTAGGACTCCTTGGGCGGGTGATCAGCTCGTCGCAAGGCCTCTACCTGTATACAAACACAGAAAAACGTACACACACAAACTAAACATCCATGCCCTGAGTAGGATTCGAACCCACGATCCCGGTTTCCAAGCGAGCGGAGACAGTACATGCCTTAGACCGCTCGGCTACCGTGACCGACATTTAGTTACATTAGTCTAACAAAATAGGCATGACTTAAGCAGTGAGGCGGTGGCCAGGGTCCGGTCCCAGGGCGGGTCATACGGGATTTGTGATGGAAAAAGTGGCACTGGGGTAGGTGCTCTCCAACTACTTCGGTTTCCCCCGCCAGTTTTCATTCCGCCAGCTACTCCAAATCCATTAATTATCCTGCCATCGATATAGTACCGCTACTGACAGCGTTGTTAAATAACCAACTTAATATATTTTAATAACGAAATAAATTAACAGTCAGATCTCACATCAGATACCACTTGTTTGCCATTATTAGTTAATATACAGCCTTTTACATTTGGGAGAGAACATGGGAACAGGAAAGCTGAGTTTCATATTTTTTTAATTCTTTTTTTTTTTATTCGCTCAGTCCAAGTGGGTCCACTCGGCAAGGCGGCCACTGCTTGGCCTATTGTACCTGCCCCGGTGATTATGATGATGGAGAATTTGGTGGAATGATGATTGGCAGGGGAAACCGAAGTACTCGGAGAAAACCCTCCCCAGCGCCACTTTGTCCACCACAAATCCCACTTGACCAAACCCAGGATAGAATCCGGGCCACCGCGGTGGGAAGCCAGCGACTAACCGCTTGAGCCATGGCGCGGCCTGAGTTTCATATTTATTAACAGTGTTTTCAATACTATTTCAAGCTCATTTATTTTTTCTTTCAGATATTTACCCCCATTTTTGTTGTATCTGAAAGTTATCTTCAACTTTCCTCTCGCCGTTTCGTTGTCTCTGAAAATTCTATTGTCAGGTCTTGCGTCTTCTTCGTTTTGCTTTGAATCTGCAGCCATCAAAATCTAGCATGTTTCTATGATTCAGATAATTTCTTCGTCAAATTGCAGTTTAATTTGCTTGAACTTGTAATAATCGATACCACACCAGAGCGGACATTTGCACGGCAGATGTTACTTCCAAATTGTTAAAAATTCTGCGGTCCTCTTTTGTGTTTTGTCTAATGTTGATTTTCTAAATAAAATATAAGAACAAAGATTTAACAGTTTAAGTGCAACCTGAAGTTCAAATAATAGTTGTTGTTTCAGACTTTACATCGACTTGTACGTAATACAAAATTGTACTAATGTGAACTTTTAGGAATACGAACATATTTTCAAAGAAGGATTCTGTATTAATAAGAATATAAAGATATGAATCACCTGGAAGAAAATGTTTAATTCAGAGGACGGAGGCACTTACCGCATCGAATCCACTAATTTAGTGAATTTCAGTATGTAATTTCTAACTAACGTCAAACACGAGTCCACGTAACCTGCCGTGAGGCAGACCCATATTTTGAATTGATGATAGTCACCATCGAGAACACAGATTCACTCACACAGCCCGAAGTAGAACTGAAGAGAAGTGTTAAGTAGAAGGGCCCTTTCTTGAGACTTTGCTCCAGGTAATCTTTCATTATGTTCCAGAAATTAAGTTCAGAAACTTCTATAAATTATAATAACAAGAAGTTCTGCGAAGAACTAATCCCTAATTTCCTTGACACGACATGGACCGCATAGAAACCGATGCGTCCAATAATTCTTCTGTTCTTCGGTGTGTTTATTCGTTGTAATGGTTAACGATTTTACCTAGCCGTTGCCTATCAATGACGGGGGGATGCATATATACACACACAAACTAAGGGGAGGTATTTGTGAAGTACACCGTTGAGATAGGATCAGGTGCCATAATATACATACCAAATTTCGTAAAGACTTGTTCATTCATTAAAAAGTTTATGGGGCGAAGAGGGGAACACAGCCACACAGACAGCATGGAGATCGTGTAAGCCTACTTTCATTTTCTCAAAATAAGGATTGTAGGCAAAAAGTGTTACTGTTCTCGCATGCATTGGCGGTCCACCCGAAATTGGTTTGCGGTCGAAGTCTTGCCCAGCCCTGTGTAGGCTCTTTTCGAATGAAGTTTGTGTATTCTTTGTAATACTTTCTAAAGTGCTATTGACGTCGCTATGATCACATTATCCAAGGTATCCAGAGCTGCAAACTGTTTGGAATTTAAACTTGACGCTGTTTTTAAGCGAGCACGAGGTAACGTAGTTGGTTGAGTCACTATGCTACAAGCCTGAAGGTCGCGGGTTTGATTCCCGATGTAATTTAATTTTTTAAATTTACGTAAGCCTTCCAGCCGTCCTATTGCGCTGGGATCGACTCAGCCTCTACCAGAATTGAGTACCAGGAATCTTCCTTGGGGTAAGGGAGGCTTGCGCATAAGGCTGGCAACCTTACCGCCACCTGTGAGCCGATTGTCTCTAAAAGATGTGGGAGCTTCGACGACTCACAACCCTACGGGCCTTCACGGCCTGTTGCGGGGATAGCTTTACCTGTACTGTTCTTTAACTTCCATTTCGTCAGGTTCTTAACATGAAGCCTTGTAATATAATACTTTCGCTTCTCTCTTTTAGCTACAGGAAGTGTCTCGTTATTTTCTTTTATTAATTTATTGGTGGTGGTCAGTATCACAGTCAGCTCGTGTTAAAGCTCGGTCATCAGTTATGCTTGAATGCAGACAAAAGCTTTACAGAATTCAAGGAGGAAAATTAGAATGAAAATCTACATACAGATTTTCGAAATATGTGGAATAAGTGGAAAATGTACTTCACCCAATAAATTTGCATAGGATTAATAACATTTAGTCCAGTAACTGCATACGCTTGGACTATTAGTAATTAGGCTTGGTTTCTGTAAAGGTTAAATCGATATTTGCCTCTTATTCAGTGGATACCGGAGGATTTAACTTGGATATGGCGGCCGGAACTTAAAGCTGACCATCACCTCCATTCAGTGAGGTTAAGAATGTGTGGAGCTTTATTCAACTTCATAATTATTCATGTGGTACTTAATAATTTTTATCAATTAAAGGCACCAAGGAAAATTTGCGGGCCGTTTAAATTAACATCAACGCAGTCATTTAGAATTTTCTTATTACTTACTCTACGTAAGGTACTGAAATTTTATTACGTGCAAATTTCTGAAAATTTTCAGCTTTGCTACACCACCGCATGTTATAATAATCTCTCTCTTTGAGTATTATGTCCAACATTGTTAAGGACGTTGAAATTGCGATAAAAACTATCCATGAGCTGCATTTGATTTACATTTTCGAGTCTTTGCCACTGTGTTATACAGGCTTACAATTGTTGAGAGTCCATCAGTAAATCATTCTATGCAGAAATTTAAATTCACATCACATACTCCACAGGTTACCTTACTTCCAAGTCCCAGAATATCTTAAAGATTGTGTTATCTGTGTGTGCATAAATGCCTATTGCTGTAATTGACAGTAATTTAATTGCATGCAAAAAGAAGACAATAACAATAAACAACTTCCAGTGATAACTGAAATCTTAGTTCATGTTTGCTGTATTAAATAAAAACCTTCAGTCCCGGACATGGTTATATTGTGTTCCCTCAGTTGAAGCCCAGTCATGCAGCAAGAAGCGACGGGGGGAAGAACAGAGCCGCATATAACGAATGAAGAACTCGGTGAGCTCATAATAGGACCGGTCATGTAATTGTTCTTATTTACTATATTACCGTACCTAACCCAGGATTGACGGTCCTGGAAAGATTTCTGTGATCCTGGAATGAGTGTCCTAAAGCATTCTATTCTTGTAAGCTACGTTTTTCCATTTGTTGCCCAGGTTACTTAAATGGAATTCCTTATCATTCAGTTTGTTTTATTAGTTGTGATGTAGAGACGTGTGTAAGTGAAAATGGTTCATTCATTATAACAGTACTGTGTTGAGCATATTGACACATGATTAAATGGTCTCCCAATATTCGTTATGTACCGTAGTTGGTAGGCTCTTTTCGAATGAAGTTTGTGTATTCTTTGTAATACTTTCTAAAGTGCTATTGACGTCGCTATGATCACATTATCCAAGGTATCCAGAGCTGCAAACTGTTTGGAATTTAAACTTGACGCTGTTTTTAAGCGAGCACGAGGTAACGTAGTTGGTTGAGGCACTGTGCTACAATCCGGAAGGTCGCGGGTTCAAGTCCCGATTAGGTCATTAGATTGTTTTCAATTGACCTAATCGTTCCAGCTGCACTATGGCCCTTGGGTCGACTCAGCCTGTAACAGAAATGAGTACCAGGAATTAATTAAATAATTTTCCTGGGGAGTAAAGCGCGGCCGGCGTGTAAGGCTGACAACCTTACCGCCATCTTTGAGCCGATTGTCTAGATAATTCACAACCTTCACAACCCTATGAGCCTTCATGGCCTGCTATAGGGATAGCTTTACTTTCTTACTTTACTTATCATAAAGTATAATAAAAATATGTAGTTTGATAGATAATGGTCCAAAACTCGGTGTTATAATGCTTGGCGTACTAGTCTACAGTTCAGAAGGCTCTGTGTTCAATCGAAAATGTCAGAACTAATTTTAAGTTACTAAATAAGAGAACTTTGTATTTTGTCTAGTTACATGCAGAATGAAGTCTAGCAAACTTAAAAACCTCGTACAACGTTTGAAACTGTGGCCAGACAATGAACAATGCCCAAAGTATTATTTTGTAAAAGAACGCGAACAGAATTAATCGTGAACGTTATTTAAATCCTAAAAGTGTTTATATGTACATACGCAGATTTTTCAGATTTAATGTTTTGTGGATGCCATGGCTGAAGACTTTGTTGTCGTAAAGATTAGTTATTGTGATTTTTCTTGTTATGTGAACAAATTACAGGGGAGTATGTGATGTGTAAAACATAATTTCATCTGTTGTTGTTATAGGAATTTTGAGGAAATAGTGGGCTGTGAATATTGTGTTCAAAGTGGCATAGTGATGTTACTGGGGGTCCAGACGAAGATTCAGAGGCTGGGTCTGATTAAATCTTGCACCTCCATCCCACACAATGCCAATCTGTAACACCCTAGAATTATTCATAAATCCATTACCATAATTTTTCAAACTCCCTTCTTACTTATTATATTTTATAAAAGTCACAATTGCTTGGCATGGAAATATGTTTAAAAATATTATTAGATACATGATGCAATATGTGAAGAGGTACTTGGCTGCTGGTATTTAAAAAAAAAAGTTCTTTTATTTTTCTAGGAGAGAGACAGAATGAACATGAGCAAGTGGACTTTGAAACAGCCATTTCTCTTACTGGTAAATATAACGTATACAAAATATTTCACAAAAGAGTACTATACTACTATAGTAGCATATTTTTCTACCGTTCTTCATGGGATAGGGACCAGTGGAGTGCTCTTTTGAACATGGTAATCAACCTTCAATTTCCACAAAATGTGAAATTCTTGAGTAGCTGTGCTCTGGGGGGTTCTCAAGAAAGGCTCAATTCCATGGAATTAGTTAGTTAGTGTTCAGCAATATGCATTACAATTTTTAAATTATAAAGTCTCAAAATTAAAATAGGATTCCACAGAATAANAAAAATACTTCATTACTAAAAATGTTTTCATATTCCAAAACACAAGATAAACATTTAAACATTTAAGAATCTGCCATATAAACTGAAGTATGTAAGATTTGAGGCTTTCATGGCGGTGACTATGAAGAAAGCAGTCTTCTGGGATTTTGCACCGTGTATACACGGTGCAAAATCCCAGAAGACTGCTTTCTTCATAGTCACCGCCATGAAAGCCTCAAATCTTACATACTTCAGTTTATATGGCAGATTCTTAAATGTTTAAATGTTTATCTTGTGTTTTGGAATATGAAAACATTTTTAGTAATGAAGTATTTTTTATAGTAGTGATTGAAATATTCTGATGTAACTACATGTAGCAGTTTTTGCATTGTAATACGGAACATTAATAGAAATGTCGTATGTCATATAAAAATTTGTAGAATTATCCCTCCACTTTCTACAAATTTACATCAGATATCTAATACAAAATAAATTTCCATGGAATTCTAAATCACATTTGTAACTCTGTATGAACATATATGAAGTGCTGCTTAGAGGAACACTGTCATCACTTGTAATTCTCAAAGAATTCTGAACATTGTTTCATGAAATCACATGGTAAACAATTCTGGTAACATATTAGAGTCATTCGCCTAATACTAGAAGTTCCTTCTTGAGATCTGAAGATTAATTGAATGATTTTATTTGTTTGTCTTATTTTTGTGGCATATTAACTCTAGACAATCTTTCTTAATATTTACTTCTCATTTAGGTTATGGGAAATTCAACCATTTGCTCAATCTGCTTGCAATACCTGCTGCCTCAACCACAATGATTGACACAACAACTATGTCATACATCCTGCCTTCTGCAGAGTGCGATCTTAATCTCTCAAATGTAGACAAAGGGATTCTGAATGCTGTGGTGTTTGGAGGTAAAGCAATACTCACATGAAGTGCTGAAAAGATTAAAATGTTCCCTGCATAATGATGTCTGTTATTGCAACTCTATATTAAAAAATTCTTTGAAGTCCAACAACTGTTTATGATTACTTATGTATTGCAATCAAGTGGAATAAAATTGCTTCATTATCAGATAGAGGCTTATTACAAAAGTCCAAATTTTATAAATATATTGGGTATAGAATATATTGTGTGTTAGCCTGTGTTCATATTCTGCTGCAGGGATGACGTCAGGTGCTCTCTTTTGGGGGTTTTTGTCTGACACACTTGGAAGACGGAAACTACTTCTTGCTTGCTACTGCCTGCTTGCTTCTATCACAATAGCATCAAGTTTCTCACAGACATTCTGGAGTCTAGGTCTTTTCAAGTTTCTAGGAGGATTTGTGTATGTTCTCTACAACTTTCATAATAATTTAATTTTTCCATTAAGTCTAGTTTTACTAGAATGCACCTTGTGGGTGCCTCTTTCTCTTGTTGGCAGAAACCATCGATCATTTGGATAGAAAAAATGGTTCATGATAACAATTTCAGGATTGCATAAATCATTGTTAAATAACATAATTAGTAAGTTACTGTATAGTAGTATTTCCCAAATGTAAGCCAGGATAGCGCAGTTGGTATACCACCTACCTACGGGCTGGATGATTGAGTTCGAGTCTCGGTAGGGTAAGAATTTTCTCTTCTCCAAATTGTCCAGACCAGGTCTGGGGTCCACTCAGCCTCCTATCCAATGGGTATCAGGGGCTCTTTCCTTGGGGGGTAAAATGGTAGGGGCCTGAAGCTGACCACTCACCTCCAGCTAGTGCCAAGGTCAAGAAAATGTGGATCTATACATCCTCTCCCCCCTATGCCCTTATGGCCTAGTGCTTAATTAGTTAAGCACAGGGTCAACTCTACCTTTTATTTCCCAAATGGTGTTCTGCAGAATCCCAGTGTTATGTGAAGTGATAATAAGAGTTCCACATGGAAATTCCATTACAAAAGAAATATTACAGTTATTTAATGCTTGTGGCTCTGTATTCAATACATAAGAGACTCCATCTATGTGGATAAAATGTTTGGGGTTATTAAAGCTGGCATTAGAGGGCTATAAGTGCACTGACTTATTCTGTGTGGTGCCTTAATATTTTCCTGACTGACAGGACACATCAGTTTGATCCAAGAACAAAGTAAAGGATATACTTAATGATAGAATTGCATAGCAAAATATTAAAACCATGAGCATAGATTTACAACTTATGTAGAACTAATTTAAAATTAATTAACAGTTCAATTTGAAAAAGTATGAGAGTGTTCGATGCTTGATACAAAATTATAATTTTGCAGAGCATGTGGGCCAAATGCCATTTTTTTGGCATACCTCTCTGAGTTCAACAGCTGTCGTCACCGTTCCAGAACCATGATGGCTGTTGGGATTTATGCTTCCTTGGCAGTGGCTGCTCTCCCAGGTAAACATCTCTCTTCATGGCTTTGATGTATTATGTGTCACACATGCATGAATGCAGAAACACACATGCAAGTACACAAACAGATATACATATACACAGGTACACTTACAGATGTACACACGTACACAAACAAAAGCACACATGTGTACACACTCATAAGCACAAACATATCTATAATAGACACACATATACAACTATAAACACCAACACATATGTACTCACAGACAAAAGTGCATAAACAGACACAGTCATAGATGTACAGGCATATACAGTAGACCACTGATTTATTGAGGTGGATGGGAAATGAATTTGCTCAGATAATCAGTAAAAGGAATATATAACAAACTTATGAATTTGTATTTATATAACAAAAAATACATTTATAAGTGCAATTTACTTGAACACTGTTTGTAGAAGCATGACTCATGGTTTCTGAGATGTTCTTGTGCCGTTTCTAAACATTGAAAAAAGGCAAAGAAATTCTTCCAAGTTTCCAAGTACATAGTCAAATGCATGATAAAATTCTCTTCATTTTGTACTTTTTCCATTTAAAAAGGAAATAAAGTTTATCTTCTGGTACTGGACAAACCACCCAGTTTTCTAAAGAAAGCCCCTGGATAATCTATCTTCTGTTAATTGATAGTCATCTGTATATACAGATATAGACAAACATTTATGCGGACAAAAACACTCACACAGATGCACACATATACATACACAAACACACACTTACACAGTCAAACACACATACACATCACACACAAGATAGAACAAAAAAAGACCATTTTTAAAACTCCGGAAATAAATCTCTGTAGAATTGAATGAAACTCACACACACATAATGTAGAAGTTACTTATGTGTGCATACCATAAATTTTATTTAGCTTGGGTTAATCTCTGCACAGAAAAATATTTTCAATTTTTTATGTTAAAAATATGTATTTTATTTAAAATTCAATTGTATTTGCTTTTCTTAGAATAAGTGTGTAAAAGGGCCCTGTTCCATTGATTGTGGTTTGAAATAATCTTGCCTTTGATCAATGGCTGATTGGAAGTTATCTTGTCATGTGAGGGGCCACACATATTTAATTTTCTGTTGCTGTAACTCCAGGGAGCAAAACAGATTTATCTGATTTTTGTACACTACATGTTCAAGTTCATTCCAAATATGGTAATCTAACGAGTTCAAATGGGGATAATTTAATGTCATACTGTTTGGTAAATTCAACTGTAGTCATCCAGTACTTTCAAAGATTTCATAATATGAATGCATAAGTGCCAATTGTTAAAATTCATATTATAAAATATTCTTGACCGTAACAAATCAACTGAACTGAATAAATCATTTTATGCACATAGGTATGGTCTACTTTCACATGACTTGTATGAGTTTCAGATCCTTAGAGCGATTCATTTTTACCATTACTTACTTACTTTCTTACTTACTTACTTACTCACTTATGTACTTACTTATGGAGCTGAGCCCTTATTGAGGAGAAGCCAAATCTGCAGCTGCTCAAGAATTTCCCACTATTTTATGGAACCCGAAGGTTCATTAACATGTTCATAAGAGCCCTCCACTGGTCCTTATCCTGAACCAGATCAGTCCAATCCGTACCATCCCATCCTGTCTCTCTAACTAAGATCCATTTTAATATTGTCCACCGACCTACTCCTTGGTCTTCCTAGGGGTCTCATTTTTACCATTATTTTAAATATGTCATTTTTTGCACCACCTGTACATGAGTGGATTAAGTATGTTTCCCATATTGTCCAGCAATTGCCATTATCTTTTGTAATGAATTATATATGTTTGTTAGAAATGAGGTTGTGTTTGGGTTTATAATTGCAAATTTTACTGACACTTAATAACCTATTAAATAAAACAGTAAACTTTCAGTTATTCAGAATGTATGGAGAATGGAATGTGCACAGGCAAACCCAATTAGGAATGTGTTTGCCTATATATTTATTCATTGCATAAGTGGAAGAGTCAGTAAAGCATCATCATGTGGTTAGTGAATCTTCATTTTTATCTGTGGGTTATTTAATAATGCTGTCAGTAGCTCAGTCTGCTAGCACTGAAATGTAGAATGATTCATGTATGATGAATTATATAGGTAGTGAAAGGAGAGAATCATGGCATATTTAAAGTACTATCCTGATATTCATCTAGAGAGAATAAGGAAAACCACAAAAGATCTCAGGATATTTTGTATCTTGGCAGAGACTCAAATAAGACCATTTCTAACTACAAGTCAGAATCATCACTATATGAACCAGTTTACTTGGCAACAATTTTAATCACTTTCATATGCTTCTTTACTAATTCTTCAGCATTAGCATGGCTGCTGATTCCACAGACCTGGTCATGGACACTTCTTGGAGGTTACATCACATACAACTCTTGGCGTGTCTTCCTTACAATGTCTGCTATACCTAGTTTTCTGACAGGGTGTTGCATATGTTTCTTTGATGAGTCGCCAAAGTTCCTCATGTCTTGTGGAAGAAGGGATGAAGCTCTCAGAGTCTTCCAGAGAGTCTATAGCATCAACACAGGCAACCCTCCAGAAACTTATCCGGTATGGGTTCTTCCTAAGTTTTCAAATTTTAATAAAGTGTAATATTGTTCATATTGTGTTTCATACTTGGCCATGCAGTGACGCATTACAAATATTATGCCCATCATCAGAGTCTCAATTTTCTGTGACAGTTCTAAGGTCATAAACAATAATGAAATTAATTGTAAATATATTTCATATTACTGTCACATGCTCTTAGATCTGGCAAGAAAGTAATGCATAGTTTGTATACATTCAGTGAATTACTAGACAGGCAGACACAACTAATATTTCTAATTTGTACAGAGGAGATGCTAAGTAATGGAACCAGTCATCCTGACTGCTTTTATTTTCCATCAGTTATTTCCTCAGTTCATTCAGAAACATCATGGATGTATTTCCATGTAATCTGATATTTTATAACATATTAAATTGAAACACCCTTACAAAATTGGCTAATAAATAAATATTTTTATTGAAAACAAGTTAAATTATTTTCTCACAGTATAATATGTTGCTGAGTACCATATTTCATTTCAGTGTCATGCTGCACATATGCTGTTCAGATACTGTCATTATTTAAGATGTGTTAAATGTGAATCATTTTTGTGCAAGACTGTGAAACATACAAATATGAAAACAGTCATCTGCTTGTCATAATTTTATACCGTTTTTAACCTACATTATTAAGAAAAGTTTTATGGTTCAGTACAGATGTGAGTTTCCATTTCTCTCTTCTCCTAAGTAATAATATATGTACTAGCATTAAAACTGCCTCAATATGTGTTTCAGGTGAAATCCCTTCTTAAAGAGAAATCAGGTGTCCTGACATCAGCTGCACCTGATGAAAGGTTATCCACACTTCTGAAACTTGGTATTAAGCAGATGAAGCCATTCCTTCACAAACCATATATTGGAATGGCAGGAATAGTCTTAATCATCCAGTTTGGTGGGCAGTGGGGGTAAGCATCAGGAAATTCAGTATGGAGATATCTGAACCTTTTACAAATCTAATGTATGATTTTATATATATATATGTCTTTCTTCATAACTTAGTATAATATTTACTGTAATATTTCATTAAATTTATCACTTTAATTATATTTTAACAAGACAGAAATCAGTTGTCGCTAGTGGAAGTTGGGTGGAACATATAGGAAAATATTTTAAGTATAGTGGTTATTTAATACATTTCTGATTAAAAAATTAACACATAACTTCATTAAGTTTCCTTTCTTGATACTCATTAATTAGCTAATTGAGCAGAATTTCCAGGTATATTTTTTAGATGTCAACAAATAAGTGATATTCATAAATACAATAAGTTCTGTGATTGAAGTTAGGGCATGTTTTGTTACTTCTGAGTTTCTGATATGTCAATATTTTATATTGAATGAATTATGTGTAATGTCAAGGTTAAGAGAAGAATGCAATAGTTTCAGAGTGCTTACTTAATTATGCACAGATTCATATTTTCTGATATCTGACATGAGCCATAGTGTTGATAGTATTTACATGCTTGAAGTACTAATATAATTTCTGGAGAGAGAAATTAATGCCTTCATCCTAATAGACAAGATTAATAAATGTGCAGAAAAAAAAAGAGATTAATGAAAGAAACAATGCTACTGCTGTTATCATCACTGTCACTATTTCCCCATGTTCATTAACATTGTCTTCTAAACTGACAGTAACCGACACTAATATTTTGTTACTTCTGATCTTGTTTGATTGGTCATCAGCTGTAAATTTTCTACATGGTTAATGCAGGATACCCAGAAATCTTGTACAACTGTAGCAATCTCTCCATTCACCAGTGCTTCCACTTCTTCCACTGTGAATGTTTTGTGTTTCTTTGCCACTTTACTTCCATTTCAGCCCTTACAAGCTTCTGCTGTTTGGTCTTGGAAATTTGGAAAATGTAGTTTGCCTCCTTCTTCTTGACACATCTATCTATTACAAAAATTATGTACACTGCACGTATTTCATTGTTCAGATCAAGTATAAGTTGTCTGAACATAAGTGATATTTGTAGCAGCACCTTGCAGTGACAGACAGACATCTTTAACAGATGAGCACTAAGTGAATCTGAATAGGCAGCTTGCTACAGGTGAACATGTCCCAGAATTTGAGAGATGTGAATCCTATGCTAGTAATGAAAGACATACTACTGTTACCATGTTATTTTTAATTGTCCTCCCCCTAGTAACTTTCAATCAACTGACAAATTTTTATGAATTGTAATGTGAATTAACGTTTCTAGAGTGTACTCCACCTTTTAATTTTTAAAGACAATTTCAACATGACAGTAGTACAAACCTCTGAGGGATAGTGACACAAATATCATTTAACAAAGCTCTGAAATTAAATTTGGCATTACATTTATGAAAGATATGTGATTTTTGGTGCTTTTATTTGTATGATTTATTATTTAATTAAAATTTAACTTTTAGGTTTGCTCTGGTGGGCCAGCACAAATCTAATTACTACCACCCTCTTCATTACAGAGATCAGTTTTCTGCAAAGTTCATTTCCATTTATAACAAAAAGTCCATATGCTGTTATGAAAACTAATGTTGGTGTTATAATTCTAAAAAAGTTAAGTTACTGCCAATTAATGGTCACAGTATAAACAAAAGATAAACAGGTATTAATTTTTATCTAAGAAGAAAAGAATTGTGAAATGTGCCACTGCTAAAATCATGCCACCAGGCTTGCCTACTAGCCCTATATGTTTGGAAAACTGAATGCAGTCAGAATCTGTACTGTTTGAAATTACTCACAGAAGAAGATAATTAACTTGCATAATTATCAGTTTGTAATTCCTGCTAGACTCACCACATAGATTCAAAAATTTCAGAAAAAGATGTCATCATAAGATGTTCCCAAAACTAAACTTTGTATAACATAACTTATCCTATGATACAAAAAACCCGTACGTATAATTTCACTATAACATCAATATTGTTTGTTCCACACTTGTGTCTCAGTGACACAGTTTAATTATTTCTGGTTTATATTTATACCACCATGCAGTAGCAATGTGTCATGTTAGTTGATCAGTAAGTGACTAGTGGACTGAATGATTCAGATTTCCTTGAGCAGTTGAACTTATTAGACAGTTAAGTAGTTCCCTTTTTTGTATAATTTGAAAGTTCATTACCATCTTTAGTTAGTTCAATTCAGTACACACCTTCAGAACTTACTTATGCTTATTTTAACATGATCCTCCCATGATCTATTCCGTAAGGTTTTCCAATCATATATCCCCACACATATTACCTTATTACTTCCACACATACTGCATACAGGTTGAATCGTTGTTACCCAGACTGGGAAGGGCATGTTATGCAATACGAATTATGAAAACATATAGTAATATTACAACACTTAAAATGATATATCATGCATACTTTCATTCACTCATGAGATATGGAATAGGTTTTTGGGGTAATTTGTCAGAGGCCAAGAACATCTTTCTTTTACAAAAGAAGACTATAAGAATAATAATGGGGATGAAACATAAAGAGTCCTCTAGGCCAGCATTTATAAAGTTAAATATATTGTGACATGTTGACCCCTACCTCCCCAGCGGTACGTGGCGGTAACGTAACGCTCGCGTTACTACGGTAATAGGCGAGTTCC